CACATTTTTTAACAATGGTTTGCAACTTGCTGGGAGGTAGCTTTTCTCTCAAAGAAGTAATCAGTTTCCAGCTCTCTTCGCAGGACCTCTTGTCAGAATCATCCCCGCTATCAGAATCCGCGTCCTTTGGAAAAACAAAATCAAAAAATGGCCCCCAAATAACCAAAATTAAAATGTAAAAAATGAAAATCAAATTGAAGAGAAAAAGCAAGCAAAAAAGCCTTAACCAAATTTAAAAACGAAACAAAAAACAAACCAAAACCAAAACCAAAAACAACCCCTAAAAACAAAAACCCTAAATGATGTGCAAGTCTATTAAGACATATGCAAAATGTAGATTATAATTAATATAAAGATGTGTTTGTTTAGTACCACTAACCCACATCTCCACTTTCTGGCATCAATAATGAAATGTGCAAGCAAATTTCTTAGGAAGATTGAAATAGTGAGTCTCTCACTGTAAAGTCATATGAAGTTATTAACAAAATGGTGTAAAATAATATCTCCACTATCTCAGGAAAATGAAGTCAAACCTACACCCCGTACATGCTAACGCCCATGCAGCCACTTCCCCACATTTGCCTTGGTTATTGCTGTTGCAGAAACTCGTTCCCCCATGAGTGAGCACAGATGCCATACAAGATGTGACGAGCAGGCGGATTAACAAAGGTTAGTAAGGCTGTAGGATGCCACGTTTTGTTTAGCTTTACTAAAAGAGCAGCCCTAGAAAAAAGTTAGAAGATGAGAAAGTAGAAAAAGAAGCAAACAGGGATGATGTTAAAAATGTTAAGAATCTCTATTAGCAGACCATGTGAGGTTCTCAACAACCAAATTGTTCTTCTAGACGACAAGAGGATTTTGAAACTATTCTTTCTGTGAGCATATACTGGTTTTGGTATTTTTTTGTGTTATGTCAAATTGATCCATTTCATTTGTACCATTAAAGTTTGTTATCGAGAGAACAAGAAAGCATAAAAAAGGATCCTTATAGTGGGTCTGCTATTTTATTTTTCACACACACTTAGACCAACATCACCTTCAAAATTTTAAGATAGAAACTTCCAGAACATGAATTAAACTAGGCAAATATATTTTTAATAAACGTCATTTTAAATTCCTCGATATTTTAATAAATACAACTTAGAGATGTTTTCTACCTATGAAAACTCATGTCAGTTCTAGCTATCTGAGAAATATCACTTTAAGTGACAACTCTTCTTATGACACATAAAACACAAATATCATATTCTGTTTATGTGAAAAGGATCCACTTTAAAAGGTTTTCTCTAACTCTCTCTGTCCTTCTGGCTATCTTTGCGCCATTCCCTCTTTTTCAAACAATTTTACGAGGCCTAAACCCACAGCCTGACTTTGGATAATAATCAACTGAATAACGACCGATCATTCTTAACTAACTCAAGCAAATCTTGATAACATGAATCTTAATGAGAGAAATGTTAGATTTATAATGCCCTATGACGAATGAGATTAAGAAAGAATTTCTATTCAGGAAATAAAAGTTCCTGTGAAAAGACACTACTCACTAGAATAGTTCAAGATAGTCTAGTAAATGAAAATATTCTTACTAGTCTCTTTTATTTGGCTGTGATTACCAAAATTATCTCTAGTAGAGCAGTGTTTTTTAAAAATCAAAACTGATAAATAGTATCTCGCTTTCTATACCAAAGATTTCCTACAGTTCTTTCTAGGGACCAAAAAAATAACTTTTTTAACAATGACAATAATTTGGCCCCTGAATTTGAAGAGGTTGCTACTGAGCTGTTTTATTTCTGTTGGTCTATAAATGGGTACTAACCCAATTTATTACCCCTACCTATTTGAAAATTTAGCAACAAAAAGATAAAGCTGAATTTACAGATTCTATACCTTTTTTTAATTTTTAGTTTAAAAAAATAAAAATGACTAATCTTAAGTGATAGACATTAATTAACATTAGAGAAAAAAGTACGTTTGACTCCTGAAAAGGTTTTCTGGCAAATATATATATAAACTGAGTTTTACAAAACACAAACTCTCTCTGATTCTTCCCACTTAATTGACAATTATCACTTTTTTCCCTTGGCTCCTTTTTCCTTTTAAAATTGCTTAAAGATAAAGTGAACACTACCTAATATGAGAAATAGCAAATGTTGCAATTATAGCTTTAATATCATGATTAAGAGATAAAAGTTATGTCTTTAAACTCCAAAATAAAACATAAATAAAAGAGTCTACATAAATCTGAAGGAACTCAAATTAAATCAAGTGGCCATAATTTTCTTTCTTTTAAAAATACAGTCGTATTGACTCTGCAGAATATGTTCTCCATATGGCTCAAACATATCCCCTATTACATACAGACCGTGATACTTTAAAAGTCAGTATGCAACATTTATGTGCCAAGATGTAAATCTTATCCCATGTTTTTAAAAAAAAAAAAAACAAAAAACTTTAAGATACTTAGATTCATGTATTTTATAGCCTTGGAAAAATGACTCAGGTCTGTCCAATTTACATGTCACTACAAGATCCTTCTCTTTTTAATTAAAAACCAGATGCAAAGTGGGCCTCCTGAAGAGACTCTGCAAGAAGCTTACACAAATAGAAGAAAGAATATACCTAAAACACAAGCACAGAAAGGACCAGGTGTATAATAGAGCACTAACTATAAGAGAACGTAACAGTGCGACGCACATGGGGAACTATCATAATAAAAAACTCATGAGCCTGAATTCCGTTTAATACTGTCATTATGCAAAAAATGATTACATGTAATAAATTTTAAAAGTATTTACTGAATAATCCCTTTGGTATCCTCTCAATGTTTATTCATAGGGCACATTCAAAATATATCCGTTGGATGACCAATATAGGATCATAAAAATACATTTTCCATTCAGTATTGTTACTGCTAGATACACTTCAGGCGAAAGCATTAAAAATCAATTCCTCTTAAGGACAAGAAATTTAAATGCAAGACAGTTGGACTTGTGGGAGGAAAGCAATCTCCTTATTTTAAGGATCTGCTCTTGAAATCCTAGCTTACTTTGAGATACACAGAGCAAATGACAACCAGAATCTGATTAGTTGCAGACCAAGTATGTCCTTTGTCTTATTTCAGAGCAGAGAACCAGCTCGTGGTTAAGGAAAGCACCAGCCATCGCTATTCTTTATCACCTAGTTACTCAAAGGCTGGTCCCAGGACCAGCAGCGTGGGCACCACCTGGCAGGTGGTTGGAAGTGCAGAGTCTCAGGTCCCACCCCAGACCCGTGAATCGCATCTGCATTTTAACAGGGCTCCCAGTTGGGGGAGAAGCACTATTCTACTGCACAGAACGAACAGTGAAGGTCAGAAGACCCCAAGTTTAAGCCTCAGACCCATGACTTAATAGGTACTTAAGAGTGGGCAAACAGCACTTTTTAGCCTTGGTTTCCTCAACTGGTGGTAATATAAACAGGAGGTAATATGATTCATTTTATTTACATACACATCTACTAAGAGGGTTGTTTCAGAAATTAAAAAAAAAAAGATGGATGTTAAAGCTTTCTGTAAATTATAAAGCACTACACAATTACAAGGCACTACTGTTAATAAATACAGCCTAATGACACCTGTCCTTGTTTGATCTCTCACAGACCATCGGAGGCATGTTATTACATTATACTACATTATTAAGATAAAAGGCTCCTTCACGTGTGATAAACCTTTCAAGCTCCTAATCACACTGTCACTAAATCCTTGTTTTTATTAAAAACTAAATGCCAACTAGGCCTTCTAAACAGACTCTCTATATAACACTGCTATTATCTTGCCCCAAAGCTTTGAATTATTCTTACAGTCCATTCGTTTGGGGCATCAATATAATTTTGAGATAACAAACTGGTTAACCCACCGCCAAGCCAGAGAACTGAGCTGCCCCAGAAAAGGCTGCTTTCGCCCCAGCCCAAAGCAGAGCATGGCCGTAAAGCTGTGGTTTACACGCGGCGTTTTACATTCTGTATTTTGTGCTCAGGAAAGAAATCAGTATTCCAGCTTTCTCCCTAATACTCCCTTATCTCAGGTTCATGAAATTTCAAAATTGGGAAGTTCCTGAACTTCACCCACCACACCTAAAGGTGTGTAACACCTT